TGTGGCCAAGAAATGACTACAACCCTGTCCCTTGTCAGCTCTACTATATACTTGGGAATTCTTACAGCACATACCAATACACTTGTAGAAACATTGTCTGCCAACCCTATACATGGTCCTGGGCACACTCCCCCTTGCATAGATGTGCCTAATAGTTCAGCCTGTCCACTCATCTATCTACCTGTATACCTTTGTTTGCCTTCACTGACCACGCATTACTTTATGTGCAGAAGGGTTCATCTTTGTTGTCTGTACCTCCCATGCACCTCTCTATGTCTTCCTTTTCATCAATGCCACCATGTTGATCACTCACATTTGGTACATTGCCCTTCTCTTCACCCAAATCAATACTCATCTCTACCTATCTAACAGTGTTCCCTCCCCTCCCCTCCAATCCCTGGTAACCAACAAAGAAAATTTCCTTCCATATATAAACCTTTCCTTGACTTTTTACAATAATGGACTGATAAGATATTTGACCTTCTGTGATTGACTTATTTCACTCAGCATAATGTCCTCCCAAGTTCATCCACATTATGCAGTGCTTTGCAGATTCTATATTATTATTTAGGGTTGCATACTATTCATTGGGTGTATGTACCATAGTTTGGTTATTTATTCTTCAGTTGATGGACACCTAGGTTGTTTCCATCTTTTGGCTTTTGTAAATAGTGCTGTGATGAACATAGGTATGCATGTATCTGTTCTTGTCCTTGTAGCCAAAGTTTTTGTAGAGACATTTTTCTGTGTCTACAAGGGGAGGGGAAGGAACACTGTTAGATAGTTAGAGACAAGTATTTTAATATAGTAAGATATTGTTGTTGTTGTTGTTGTTGTTGTTATGTGCCGTCGAGTCGGACCCGACTCTTAGCGACCCCTCCTTGGGTTTCTGAGGCAGTATCACTATGGAAGTAGATTGCCCCATTTTCCTTCTGAGGAGTGACTGGTGGGTTTGAACCGCCAGCCTTCTGGATATCAGTCAAACGCCTTAGGCACTGCACCATCAGAGCTCCCATAGTAAGATATAGATTTTTTTTTTTTTTTTGGTAACCATTTGGTCATAGTAAATAATTATTTAACATTATAAAAATTATATTTGCAGACTTGAGCCAACAACCGTCTGGTCTAGGGGATCTTCTTTGTTATTCTTTTTACTAACTTTAAGAATTGGACTAAATAGTGGTGCTTTAATAAAAGTACTTACAGCCCAAACTAATTGATTGGCTCACATATCTCAATTGCCTAGGACAGAAGATTGTCCTTTGCTATTTCATATATTCCAAAAAAAAACTTTAATGTAAACTACTTTATGTAATTTACCCTTGTTTCTTAGAATTTAGTACCAAATTTAATTTACTAGTATCAAATAATTTTTTTTTTCATTTTAAAGGTTGTACTGAGTTAGTTTTTTTTTTTTTTTTTTTAATTAGGACTTTGAAATCAATGAATTAATTATTTGGGAACATCTCTTAGAGAATGAAAATTTATAGTAGCAATTTAATGTTTAGTATACTTCATTGGCATAGGATACTTTGTTTATGTGTACTTGGTCTAAATGATATGTAAATCTTGAGTGGTCTCATTTATTATAAAGTAACTGATTGCTTTCTAAGTCCTTTCTGATCTTTGTTCAACAGATTGAGAAACAAAATGAAGAAGGATGGTTTGCCCTTTCTACCCATGTGTCATAAGTGAAATCAAGTTTTACAGTTTGTCTTCAATAATTTATTCTTCTATTCCCCTTTCCCTTCTCCTGCTTTCAAGTTTTTATGTCCTTCTTTCAGATAAAACCTGCAAAGGTCCTATTAATGAAACAAAGAAATAAAGCATTTTAAAAAGTTGACCTTTTCAGATAGGTGTCAATAAACAACCTACTGTGAATAAAATTTTGTTTGTAGGGAAATTAAAAGTTTTATATTCTAATAATTTCATAGGTTTTTTAAGTATTTTTTTTATTTCAGTAATACATTTTTACCCTTATCATCTTTCTTCAGGGTTTTGTTTATACAGTGTATCTTAAATGTTGATTTGTTTCATTTTTATTTTTTTTCTGAAGAACTGAGTTGCTTTGCATAAAACTTATAAGAAAATGCTTCTGTGTGAATAGTGAAGCCTTCAGAAAAATTTAACATTCTCTTTTGGTTTCTACTTGGGTGGGAAGTCACAGCTGTCTATCATTTTTCCATGAAGTGGACTGTATATATAGCTTTTAAATATAGATGTGGAAGTGTTTGCATATATTTGCTTAAGTAGGTGCTAAAGGGGCAGGGAGGCCCCATCTTCTGACCTCCTCTAACCCCACAAGAGTGAAACAGAATCACCATCAATAACCCAAGGCTTATTCCTGTGAGGCCAGACATGCTGCCTCCCTCTAGCCCTTTTATCAACTCTGACACCAACCGTTCCTCTGCAGCACCTACCACCTTTCTGCTGGGTTCAGTAATTCACTGCAGTGGTCACATAGAACTCACGGATTATGGGGATTATTAGGGAAGCACCAGGCTACAATTCAAGTTCAGGAACAACGCTCAGTTTCTCTCAGCCCGCCATCTCTCAGCCAACAGTCTATCTCAGTCTCTTTCCTAGCGGTGCATGTCTCTCAGTATCTCTCTCTCAGCAGTGCACGTCTCTTGTGTCTCTTTCGCAGCACGTGTCTGTCAGGAGTGTGTGTTTCTCAGTAGCATGTCTTTCTCAGCCAGCAGTCAGAGAGACTTCTGCCTCTAGAAGGGCTCCTTTTTGAGCCTGGAAGAGTGACCACTAACCAATCCTAACACCAGAATTCTGTACACCTGAGAGAGAGCAAACTTCCCAGAAAATTATTTTGTGCTGCTCCCAACAGAAATACCCCAGATGGATAACTAACAATCAGGAGCTACTTGGTTGCTCATGGCAAATTCCACCACAGAGTTTACAAAGACTTAAGAGTAGAAAAGGCACACTATGTAATTCACTATACTGCAGTAGGTGAGAGTGGTTGTGTATATTATAAAATTCTTTGTGGCTTTTAAATATTAAAATCCTATCAATAATAATAATAATACATAGCATTACTAATCCAGTAAAACAGATTTAAATTAATAATTTTTATTTTGTGTTTAAAACAGAACTGAGTACAAAAAGTTACCATCAGTTTTCTCAATCCTGAATCTAAGCAGGTTCATTCAAGGGTAGGTATTTCTCTAATGCACCTGATCCTCAGGCATTGGTTTTTACTGTAAACTTGCTTTTTGAATTATCTCTACCTTTTGCTCTGTGAAGGAGCTCTGGTAGTTCAGTGGTTGAGGCAGTAGGCTTTAACCAAAAGGTTGGTGGTTCAAACCCACCAGCTGCTCCATGGAAGAAAGATGAGTCAGTCTCCTCATAAATCCATAAAGATTTACATCCTTAGAAACCCTGTAGGGCAGTTCTACTTTGTCCTATAGGGTCACTATGAGTCAGAATTGACTTGGTGGCATTGGGTTTGGTTTTTGGTTTGCTCTATGATAGGAAATGTCTACTAGAGTTAGGTGGGGGTGGGATGAGGTATTCATTGGGGAACTTTCTCAGACAACACCTTTCCTTTCCCTGAACTTGTATTCATTGTTGTAGGAAGTACCCTATGAAACTTTCATTTGGGCTTCTTTACAGTGTTGGCAAAATGAAAATAATTTTCTTCTGGTATCACTGATATATTTATATGAAATCATCTGTATTCTTTTGAGTAATCCAGATTCTTCCAATTGTATTGTACTTTTTGAGTGTTGATATTTAATAAACACTATTCCTGTTTGCAGTAGAAACAATTTTAGTGTTACCTTTTTCCTTATATTACTGAAATGTCAACTTTATCCACTTGGTTTGTGAATGCATCCTTTTGACATGCAGTTTTCATGTTTTCCAAGTGGTTGGCTCCTTATTTTTTTCCGCTTATGCTTTAGGGAGCTCTGGTAGCATAGTGCCTAAGGCACTTGACTGCTAACCAGAAGACTGGCGGTTCAAACCCACCAGCCACTCCTCGGAAGGAAGGTTGGG